TATGAACAAGGGTAAACCCGATTGAGGATCACCGGTTTTCATACGGGATCTCTCTTCAGTCACAGCTCAGTACAGCACACTCTTACAGAAGACTTGAAGATGCTAAGTGGGTTCCAAGGCTTTCAACGGACGAACAATGGTCTTCACGCTGGAAGTTATTTTGAGGAGTCACTGCGATAATGTGACATTTGCAAGATGATGTCTTTTGTGTGTGTCGTTGGTCGCTTGTGTGCTTTATTTTTAAACGTGTTGTTTATTAATCATTTGGTTTATGTACACCAAATTTTACATGATAAACTATAAGTATAACACTTTTCAAAATATAGCTATATACGACTTCAATACATAGATTTTATATGACCTTTATAACGAGTTAATGTTGAAACAAATAGTGCTGATTTTTATAAGGCTTAATGTGTGTTAATCTGTTAAAAGAATGTTATAGATGAAGCAATGCCAATTATGCCCCAGAAATGCTTTTATTTTTATGTCTCAAAATCTTTTCACTTGATGATATTTTTAATTTCTTAAAGGTTTCTCATCAGGCTAATTACCTGAACATTTTTCTCTTGCTTTATGGCAATTGTACAGTTATAGTGACTTAGTATTTTGCATAGAAATTAAAATACTACAATGTTTACATTTTGCTACTTTTGATGACAAAAAAATGTAAATTGAGTCGGTAACATTAATTTAACACCATGCTCTAAAACAGTTTTTAAACGCTATAAAATTCTCGTTTGCCCTTTCTAAAGAAGTAAACATTTATTCGTTTCTGAGAATATTGTGTCTTTTCCTTTTAGTTTCCAATTAGTGTAATGAGTACTTGTATATAAAGTACAGAATATATACAATGTACATTATCAAAGATTAAAATAAACGTTTAGGAACAAAACAGTATTCCTATTCTCTTGTTTGATAATTCAAAATAAAGACCCATTTTCAGAAAACGTGAACTTAAAAAGGGGACAAAATTGTTCAATAACTATATCTTATTAATACCATATCCCACAGTGAACAGTGACTCATGATCACACAAAACTGCATGAGAAAAGACCACTCACTTCACTGATTGATCAACAATTTATTTCATCAACAATGTTTCAACAAATTCAATCAGACAAAAATGAAGTTAATTAGTTTGTAAAAAACAATGTATGTGAAAAAACACAGTTACATTTTTAACATAAATTAATCTATGTAATTTTATAAGATAGGAATATACCTCGAAACAATTCAAGAGAAAGCTAATTTGTAAAATTTGCATTACAAAATAATGAATTGATTTCAAATCGTACTTATTTTTAAACATGTATGAACACTCGTATCATTCTGTGAACAGTAATAATTAATTAATATATGGGAATATGAAACTATTATTTCAAAAACAACTACAAGCGTACACATGTGAGAAATGTATACATATTTTGTATTCTAAAATGTGAGTTTAAAATTAAAAGCAAATATGTGCCTGCACATATCAATATAAATAGAAAATATTTCAACAAAACGGAATGATAAAAAGATATGTATGTTGAAATAACATAGCATTACGATGAAAATATGTCACGTGATATTCATTACATCATAGTGACTGTTTTTGAGTTCAAGGTGAGGTATACAACAACAATTATAAGTTCTTCATATAGACAAGTTTTGTCTGAGATATATTTTTGCTGTTATTATTTTATCCAGTATATATTTTGAACTTTGTAAAGCAGTTATATCGCCGATGTTCTTGTGACATGATATTGATAAATTCGTTGTATATCTAATCATTGATAAACTACGTACTAGTATTTTATTAAACTTTTCCATAAATTGTCATGTTGACAGTTACCATGCATGTAACGTGACCATATATCAAACATTTCAATATTGTTGTAAACTGAATTTACTGATAAGCACTTTGATCAATATAAGATAAATTATATTCAAATAATTTAAGAAAACTTTAAATGAAAAAAAAATTAACCCATACATACCATGAATGGTTTCAAACAAACATGAAATCATTCATAAAACCTATTATAAAAATAAATACATTTTTACAATTGCATTGACATTTGCATTGACTTATGGAAAGTAAGTATAAGGAAAGAAACTAACAAACACATCTAAAACAACACCTGTAAGTAACAAAGTCCAAAAAAAAATTAAAAAAATAGGAAATATCATTACTTTAACAAATACGACATAGAAAGAAGTTGGTTTTTGTAAGAAAACAAACACTTAAACCATTTTCCTACTGATAACAAACAGCCTCTGGTCAAAGCATAGAGACCTTATTGTTCTGAATGTTCAAAAGATATAATACCACCTGTAGTTCACTTCTAGATGTGGGTGGTCTCAAATCCTTAATAGCTTCCATTTTGGCGGGATCGTCTTTTAAGCCTTCTGCTTTGAACACATGACCAAAGTAACTTATATCGGTGGGACCTACTTCCAGCTTTCTGGAATCGAAACGAAGGACATCTACAATATTTCGATCATGACTTTCCCTCGTGGAACCCCATACACAAATATCACCAACAACTGTAGCTACCCCTTTGGGACTCATCAGTGCCTCTACAAGGGCACGAACAACAAAATCACTTGATACGTTTAAGCCTTATGGACAACAAAGGTACCTAAATACATCAAAAGGTCTGTTAAATGCGGTTTAGTATGAAGACTCATCAGATAATTTTATTCACCAGTATGAAATTAAGTGAAATACTTTGCATTACCAAACTTATGCAATACATCATCAAGTTTTTTGAGCGGGTAAGATGTGTGATGTTAAGCGAACGAGGATCTAAACAAAGACGTATATCAGCATTACTTTTTTCAGCAACGACTTAATTATAACACCAGTCAGTTAGCCATTACCCGTAATTTTTCCATTCGTAAAAGTTCTTGTTTCACTTTATCTTGTTAAGCAACTTCGGGCGTGTGAACAACATTCCCCCAAAAAAAGAGTAACCCTACGTCATCAAATACCTAGGCGTAATCCCTCAAAAGTGACAGTTTAGTAAGAAATGCCTCTTCATTTATACATGTATTATCTTGATCAATTTGTACAGAATGTGTGAATTCTATGAGCTGAAAGCCTAAGCATGACTCACTACCTAATACGGTGTGCACTTGTAATGCACTAGATCATAAGACCAGAAAGGCCAGAGAGGGTGACCCTTGGTCTATTAGACGATTGCATAACAAGTAACAATAAGTTTTACCTGATTATCATACAAAAGAATCATCTAAAATATTAATTAATTTGGTTTATTTATACACTTCTCAATATCAAAGTTATAATTAATTATATTTACTTATTATAACATTATAACAATTAATTACATATCAATACCCACACCAGTGAACATTGATAAATTTATAAAATGATTGTTTTGTTACTTTACTCTATATTTTACAACATTTAATATTCACAACTTCAAATAGATTATATGGAAAAAATATTATTCAGATATCTCTACCTTTGTTTTCTTTTTTGTTTTATAAAAGTCTAATTGTTATTTATTAAAACAAAAGGCAACTGCTTAAATACATATGATGGGTCTAGTGCACTTCAATGTGCACGTCAAGTGCACATTGAAGCGCACTTAGAGTGCACATCTAGTGCACTTTGTGTATTTTTTGTCTGTTTATTTTATTTTACGCCTTTTCCAAACAGTATTTCAGTCATATAGGCGGGTAGTTTCCTAACCATCGTTCCTGGAGAGTTTCACCAGTAATAGACTACCTTCCTCCGTGCTAAACTACCAAAGCATCTCCCGGGTATCGAACCCACGCCAGAGAGGTAGCTGGATTAGAAGTCATCGATTCTAACCCCTCGACCACGGAGGCGGTGTGCACTTTGTGTAACCTTTAGTGTAAACTCAACTGTAACTCACAGTTCTCTTGAAATTTTATAAATTTTTCGACAAGATTGGTTGATGTCCAGTCCATTTGAGGTTTCAAGATACTACTTATATTCATGATGAACTTTTTATTAGTACAACACTTAAGGAAATGTTATTTATCTCATATGTAGATTCTCATATTCCATCAATAAGAAATTATTGTTTTGTTATTTCTTTTAAAAAATATTCTGTCCTTTTTTAAGAATGATTATTACCCTTTTTACAATATTCCCTCATTTGGAATTATTATTTTGTCCTTTTTATATATAATATTCTTTCCTTAGGAATTATATACTTTTTAAAATAATATTCCGTCTTTTACAATTATTTTTTCCAGTTATGACACCATGTTATGGGTTTATGAACAACATAAATATATGCGCACTAACTACGTATATTATTCTAAACTAAAATATATAGGAAACAGTTCGTTGTTAACATAGCAGTGTCCGTGACAGAGATATAACATGAAAGTTTTATTATATGTTATTGAGTTTAATCCTTGAATACACCCCATTTTTTATTTTGATTATTTTATAATGATATTATATAATTTAAAAGGTACAGAAGATTGTCAAAGGGCTAATTTATTATCATTTTGTAAAATATTGTTCCATCAAATTCCTGTACCGGATATGCGATGTCCAAAATAAAGCCTTAGATATGATGGATATACTTTAAGATATATAGGGCGAAAATTCATCGGGCCGACTCATTGTGTATTTATGCCGTGTCTACCGTACTCTGTCATTTATTCTATTGTTGCCTAAACACATGTTTTAGACATAGCAACGTACATTAAAGTTTAAGAAAATTTTTTAAAAATCACATAAATCAGATGGAAAAACAACTTGTTCAAAACTTGTCTTTGGAAGATGTAAAAGCTCAGAGCGACAACGATTCTAAGGAAACGATTGATACAAAGAAAATGACTACTTTCGATTTCACAGAAAAAACATGGAAAGACGATTTTGTTAGGCATCAACCGATATGTAAGAAAGCAAAATTTTTTCCGTTCGAACTCTCTTAATACTGCAACAATAACATTGAGCGACAACTTCGTTATATCATAAGTTGACCCATAAAAATCCATTCTTATATAAGTGTTTTAAGAACCTCTTTTGTCGAAACCTCGTATAGGATATCCATTCTTGAAATTGTACTACATTTCATGGGGTTTTTGAGGTACAAACCTCATTCCTATAAAGAAAAGGATCAAGTATATAACACATGAAGATCCCATCACTACACACGCCTCCCACACGGAATTCCCTTGCAGAGAGTAACTTTCTAACGCCATCGTGCCGTTTCTTATACATGACCCCGGAATGGCGTCATCACAGTTGAATTCCAAACTTTGAATTTGTACTTTACATAATGCTTGAAAGCCCCATTTTAGATAGGACACTGACGACACCCATTTCAAACCTGAAATAAAAAAAAGAAATTTTAAGATTCAAGGGATACACTATTCGTTTCAAATAATACAAATTAGACAAATAAAAAAATAAAATAAAGTAAAACGTCAATTTGTCCCATTCTTTTCCCCGGAACACTTCTTTATAGACTTGTCACATGCTTTCTGTTTTATATTTTACAAGGAAATAGTGACAAAAGAAATACAAATCAAACAATGACCTTTAAAGTGATATTATGCTCATTATTTTATTGGCAAGTTGAGCTGAACTGACTATATATTTTAAAACATTGATTGTTACAATGGATGTTGACCAACGGTTTATATTGTAAAATGTGTGCAATAAAATATAATCTGCCTAAAATATAAAAACCAAGCCGTACTTTTTTTAAAACTAAAAATTACAGGTAGGTTCTGACGGATATTTTTAGAAATTTCCTTGGGCCATATGAGTTATTTATCATTCATGTGAAGTAAAATATAAAATTGAATGGAATTGTGGTAAAATTTAAATTTATTTTGACTTCCACCTGTTCACTCACTATAAACATTTAGATGGTCATAATGTCACTGTAATACCAAACGAATTAGATAGTTTCCTAATGTTTAATCTCATGAAATAAAATGTAAACTTACCATCAAATATATTATCCAAATTGATAAAGAACCCTGCCGACATAATATACATTGAAAAGAAAGTTTGTGCAAAGAAACAACCAAGTTGGAATGTTGGCATGACTGCTGCAGAAAACATGGCTAATGTTCTACTACAGTATACAAGAAGGAATAATATCGCAAACACTGTCAAAAAGTCTTCAACATTCAACTTTAGCCCCGCTATAAAGTACACCGGAACTGCATACACCGCCACAAAGAATGAATGGAATTGTAACTCGCTAAATATCTGAAAAATAAAATGAAATTTAATGAATTTAAAATTAGCTATATAAAGCTTTGTGTATTAAACACAAAAAAAAGAGAACAAAAAAGAACAAATGTTTTAATAATGTAGTCATTTAACTTTTCTTATTGTTATACAAAGAAAACAATAAATAAAAATGTGGAGTAAAACGTCAAATATACCTTTGCAAAATAATACGGCGTGACTCCATACAGTCGGTCCTCTAGTTCAAAGTATAGAAAAGACCGCTCTTTATGGTCTACAAAAGCGAAATAACATATTATAGTAAATTAAAAAAAAACAACACAAAACAGTCAATGAAAGAGTTGTCCTAGCAGTTATGGTTTATGGTTTTATCTCAACCAAAAGACCATACACAGCTGTAAGAACATGTTTCCTCATATGACACCAGTATCTTAGTTATTCAAGGGAGCTGGCCAATATACGTAGATGAAACTAAAATGGCTGAGTTTTTTATTCAAGGTAAACTAATCTACAAAGAATATCATACTTGTCAAATACTGAGTTATGTTTCTTATTATTGCAAAGTACTCAACATCTTTTTAAAAAAATAAATGATACTGAAATATGGCACGGAGATTGTTGTCAAATGTGGCCATGTCTTTAAGACATCTTGTCCTTTCTTAAGAAAACAGCATATTGTTTGTCGTCTTAGAGAAATCTTATAAAACCTTTTATACTTTTTACTCTGTTCATATGTTAACACATTCACGATAAAATATAAATATTCACTGTGCATTCAATTATAACAGACAAATATATAAAACTTGTTTGCAAGCCTTTTGCTTTTGATTGAATTGATTTGATTAAGAATAAAAAACAACACAAAAGTGTTCCAAATATGCTTATTTGATTTCAAGAAATAAAAAGGCTTTTAATATTAAAGACAACAACAAAAGCAGAATTCGTTTAGAAACTTACACAGTCCAATGAGGTCTAAAACGACCATATACGGATATAAGGCACCAATGATATACATCATCCCAAATCTGTCCCTAACTGATGATTGGTCAAGGCCCAGATTGAAATAAACAAACCCCATAACCACTGACATAGCAACTGTTTGTATAAAATGTGTTGCCAGGTAACCGTTATCTTCTACATTATTCCTCGTTGATCGTCTAAAATCCAAAGAAAAACAAACACACATAAAATATTGAAATGCTTATTCTGTATGTACTAGTTATGATATACATATGTATAAAATAAACGATCTTGAAGTTGGAACTAAATACGGCTTCATTTTGACCTATTCAAACTTTAAAACATTAAATCTATATTTGAAAACAGATTGCTTTCTAAAAAAATGGAAAATAGAGTGATCCCTCAGAAGCTTTAGTATCAACAAAGAAAAAAAATTGCAGATGCGGTTTGATTCTGTCTGTGCATGAAGTATAATGAAAAAGTGCAACATCTCTCATGCCCCTAGCTTCTAAGATGACATTCAAAGCTTAGTTATGTCTAAAACACATTTGGTGAATTATACATAATTCAAAAAAGTGTCATTCAAATAACATAATGTATAATATATAGATTTTGATATATAAAACCTCTTTTTCATTTTATTTAGTTTCGCACATTGTTTATTCGTTTTCGGAATATGTATTTTTTTACTCCAAACGGGACCATGTGCCGCTTTTCATGCAATAGCACGAACGTATGACATTGAAGGTTTCATGATAACCTCCTTACAAACAGATCTGCGAATGTTTCTCAATTCACAATTTCACCATCATGTTCAAATATTGAATTCTGTGTGAGGAGCGTGGACGATAGCATGTACTGTAAGTACCGTCCATGATCAGGCTTTATCAAACTTAGTCTGCAACATTTTACAACTGTGCCATTCTGGGCGTTCTTCAGGAATTCCGTTTTCCTTTTTTTATATACATGTATATTATGTCAGGGCATAATATTATACAAGATATTTCAAAGAACGATTATTTCTTGCATTGCAATACAATTATTTACATTTTCTTAATATGCATTTAATGTTTATATCATTAACTATCTAAGCAGACACATGTTAGAAATGACATTCTTTGTATTAATTCGCCTTAAGTATTTTATCCGCCTCAAATCCGTATTTGAGGGATTCCTTTTTTACTTTTTATATTACCTGTAAAGTATCCAGAACTGTCTTAACGGTCCTGGTTGATGTTCTAGGTTTCTGAACATCGCCAGAACAGGCCATTGCTCTTTATCTTTCTCTTCCTTATCTTTACTAGTTGACCCACTTCCAGTTAGTTCTTTCTGACTGTCTTTGTAAGCTTTAACTAAGGTTTCAACCATATTTGTACTGTTAACCTCGGACTCCTCAGATGTCGGGTCGATCGTGGCATGGTCAACTATGAAAAGATGTTAAAATAGAAAAATAAGTGGTAATGCTCTCCCCCGTTTTATTTGAAGAAGAGTTTAAAACAGCTTTTGTTATATAATTATGCAGATCCAAATAAATATATACATGTATCAAGTCATCTGCCATTTTAAGCAAAACTCAAAAAAGGGCGAACCGTAATATTTCCTTTCGATATCTATAAATGAAATAAATTGAAGAAAACAAACCCAACATGTTTAGTGTATTACTTAATGAGTTGCATCATTCTATTTAATCTATTTATGTAAAATGTATGTATAAATCAGCAATCCAACTTATCAACTTCATCCCAATACCAGTTTTAGATATCAATAGCAAATAAAATGATTACATATATTTGACTTATCTATAAACAAACATGTACCGTAGAAGTCACATGGTTTTGTGAATTCTGGACAAGGATGTCCGAGATTACTGAAGTAAATGACCATATTTGATGCCTGGCCGTAGTACGCCATCTCTCCCTTTGACAGGACCAACACCATATCAAACAATTCAAATATATCAGATCTGTAATCAAAATATATCAGATCTGTAATAAATATAATCAACATAGTTTTTTGTGTCAAAGCATTAAAATAAAACATCATCAAATGAAATAAGAAATGTATGATTTAAACAAACAAAAAATGTGTGAACTGTACTACTGATTGTTAAATGTTTAAGAGACTTAAATATGAAACATGACATAAAAATCAGCTTTCCAAACGCTAAAAACACATGTAACTGAATATCTTAACAAAAACGACCCCTGATTAAAATGAAACCCGGAAGGCAATGATTCCCCGTACACATAAATATACCGATATATAGTTATGAACTAGATACTAAACTTGATGTATTACATATAACATACACTACATTATTCGACAATATCTAAATTCAAAACGCCATGCTATCCAAATTACTCAAATCATCGTTCTTATGTACAATTGAAGCAGACGATAAAATTATTTGATTACGTAATATTCTACAATCAGACAAAATCTCTACCAGACATTTCCATCAGTCTGTAAAATGCCCCGGCAAGTTCTAGCCTAAATCAGTCTCTAATACATCCTTTAAAGATATAATTATGTAACAGTTTCAGATATCTCCAAGGGAATCTGAACTCATTATTTGTTCATACATAATGCAGCTGTGGTAATGTAATTTGATTAATTCTGATGATATGCATATTTGGAGAATTGTTATAGTTTTGTTATCCGACTAAACTGATTTCAAATAAATGTGCCGCTCTGATCAGGATCCATGATGTTCGTTATCACTTTATCTACTTGTAATATGGTTTGTAAGCGAACAGCATGGATCTTGATCATACTGTGTGGATTCGCAGGCTGGTCTGGATCCATGCTGGTCGCAAACGCTTTATGTTGTTGGATAGTCGTATATTAATAACTGCTCAAATTCTTCAGGTCGTCGGAGTTAAAAAAGGAAAAAGGTGTTTTAGCCGTCTGAAATATTTTGGTAAAACTGAATATAAATGGAATAGAAACGATCATAGGGTAGTCCTTTACTAAATTTGCTATAATTGTACTGATGTACCGAATAAAATGGCTGCAAGAGATTAAAACAATAGAAATAATAAACATTTAAACCGCATCTCCTCCTTAACTTTCGGATACATTTTGATGAGCCCATACAGACATAATCTTGAATATGCTCAAATGGTTTCGGACTGATGGACAAACTGGCCGCCAGAGATAAAAATCCTTTCAACAACATTTACTCTTTAAACTATCTAATCGATTTTGAGGAAAATATACATTAATGAATGGACGTTGGAAGGTCCTCAATTAAATTGCTCAAATGATATTGGTCTGCTGACCAAGGTTGCCACTAGAGCTAAAAATAACAACTTTTAAACGATATGTTCCTTTTAACTATTGGGTATATTTTGATGAAACTTGAAGAAATGTTTTTTGAGGTCATATACATTTTGCTTAAATGGTCATCTGGTCTGGTGAATAACATTGCCTCCAGTGCTGATAATAGAAAATAACCTTTCAATGACCTCAGTTGACGTAAGAATTTGACCTAGCGATCTTCCTTTTCTGTACGAAATCTGCTGTGGTCATAGTATTATTTTTACAATAGGTTTATCTCTTAGATTTGGTTTGCTAAATTGCTAATCATGGTCATGCAACTACATAGTTAGGTGAAGAAGCAGGCGCTTGTTTTGGTTGAGTCTATTATGTTTTGTTTAGGGGGTTGAGTTGTCATACACAAAGTTACAATTTATATGCATTTATTTTTTTCCAATGATTTTTATTATCTTAAATGCTTCTGGGATTGTTGTTTTATCAATTCATTTGTAAATAAGATTGTTATGTGTCTATTAACGGAATAATTTTAATGAACACGAAATTAGTTCACACCTACATGTGTATTGGTAACGTGATGGTTTAAGCCAATGAAAACACGTCAATATTATTATACTCAGGCAGAGAAAAAGTATGCAACGAGTAAATCGATAATCTTTATGTAGCCAGCAAACTTTGAATTGCAAGTATTTTTTCATATCTTTTCGGCAGGATAAACTGTCCGAGGATTCGTATCGTAAAATGGCTGCCATTTACAGTATCAAGTGATTATCCCAAGCACCACCGCGACTTAGCGCGGGAATTTTAATTATAGCTTACCTCGGCGCGTATACCTTTTTCATATTTTATTGTAATAAATATTTACAAACTGTGTCTTTCGGGTTTTATTTTATCAATATATAACCAATAATGATGTTAATATGAATAAATAATCATATCTCAAATCTTTGACTATGATTTACAATGAAATTCTACCTTAAGTGTATTAAAAAGGTTTTTAAATTCTTGTAATTTTATTTTGTGATTATGTTTCAAGTTTCAAGTTTTATTGATACACTCAGCATATTTACATATGATAAGAGGTGTACAATAATATAAAAACAAAATTAATAAATGTGTAATCAGGTTGTGTATACAAATTAAATGAACTACAGTAGTTTTAAAAAAGTATTTATAACTACAATATTTCATACCATACAATGTAACTATGTCATTGTGTACATGCTATATTTTGCAAAATAGAAAAATATTTATAGATTTAAAAAAACAACAACAAAAAAACCCCAAAAAACAATGTGACTAGCCAGGTGGGCTCTTAAAGTATTCAAGTATAACATAAACATATTTAACTAAGTTGCTCAATTTTTGTGGATCTGTTTCATTCATTAATTTTCTAAACGTAAACATATTTTTGTTTTGTTGATTAATTTGTGGTAAAAGTCGTTTTCGTTTATTTTCAAAAATAACTACATGAAAAAATGTAATGGAATTCATCACCTATATCATTTGAGTTACAAAGACTACATTTTCTTTCATTTCTAACAATACCTAACCACCTTTCTCTTTCTGTAAGGAGGAGATTGTTACACAATCGAAAATTAACAAATGTTTTTAAATATTTGTCTGACAGTAAACAAAGGTACGGTTCAAAGCAATGATCAGTTTTGTACGTTCTATAATTTAAACATTTTGGCATTGAGTCGACATCACTACGCCATTTTTGTACATATTGGTTACACATATATCAATGGTTTTTAACAATAAGCATTTAGAACCACTAAACTTCTGATTTAACCAAATATAACTCATACCTGTTTCGTCAAAAATACTCTTAACATTCAATAACCATTTGTACTCCTTACCATTTCTTACAAAATCTTCATATACCAGCTTATAAATATTTAACGATAATTTTTGTAGTGAATTACTGTTAACTAAATCATACCAATAACCAGCAATTCGTTTCTTAATAATAATTGATAATGGAAATCGCCCAAGTTCGCCATAAACCATAACATGCGGTGTACTTTTCTTAACACGTAATACATATTTAAGGAAATCTGTATGCACTTTTTCTATAAGCGACAAGTCACCATAGCACCACACTTCACACCCATAAGTTAAAATTGGTACAATTGTATGATCGAATAACTTTAACTGACAATCAATAGGTAAATCTAGATTTCTTATTTTCTTATATAAACCAAACATTGCCCGTCTTGCTTGATCAACAATATGTTTCTTTGCAACCGCAAATTGTCTGTTCTTAGAAAAAACTACACCAAGATATTGAAACGTGTCTACGATCTCTAAAACTTGATTATCTACCGTAATATTCCTGTTTCTATTTCTTTTATCACCAAATACCATTACTTTTGTTTTATCAAAGTTTATATTTAATATCCAGATATGACAATAATTAGAAAAGGTGTTCAACACAGATATAAGATCTTGTTCTGTTTTAGCAAAAAGAATGGTATCGTCAGCATATAACAAAACAACAAGTTTCAAAAATATTTCAATGTTATTATCTTCAAGTATAACTGAAACATCGTTATTACATAACATGTAATTTTCTAAGTCATTTAGGTACAGAGACAAAATTACCGGTGACAAATTTTCTCCTTGTCTTAAGCCCCTATAACAACCAAAAAAATTTGAAAATTTGCCATTTACAGATACACATGACTTGATTTCACTGTACATATTCTTTATTACATTAAAATTTTTTCCAGAAATATTGTATTTGACAAGTTTACACCAAACGCCTGCTCTCCATACAGAGTCAAAGGCTTTTTGAAAGTCAATAAAAGCACAAAAAAGTTTTGTTTTCTTATGTTTAAGGTAATCTGTTAACATGTGGAGAATAAAAATATTATCAACAGTTGAATGATGCTTCCTTAATCCAGCTTGGTTTGAATTTAATAAATTATAACTTTCTAAATATTTTGTCAATCTTTCATTTAGTATACTTGTGAATAATTTCCCTATACAACTAAGCAATGTAATAGGTCTATAGTTTTCAGGCATTTCAATACTACCTTATTTTTTATAGATTGGTACAATACATCCTGTCAACCAAGAATCTGGCAAAAAACCAGTGTTAAGAATACAGTTTAACAATTTGTGATAAAGTGGTATAAGTAAAGTACTGCTTCCCTTAATATATTCGTTAGTAACTTGATCCAGACCAGCCGCCTTGCCATTCTTAAGTTTATCTATTGCTCTTTGTATCTCAGAGATTGTTATGCTATCATTAAGCCCATTATCAAAATTAACATTTGGAAAATCTGTTTCTGGGTTGTCATTTGCATCTACTGTATCTGTATTAAGCTGTCTATAGAATCATAAAATGCTGAAACATCAACATCAGTCATTTGTTTTTTCTTACTTATACTATTAACATAATTCCAATATTCTTTAGGCGATGAGTTTTTCATGTTTCGTATTTTCTTTCTCTGCTCCCTTTTAAAATTGACAATACTTTTTCTCATAATATACTTATAATTTTTACTAGAATTATATAAATCAGACATGTTACGTTCATTTTTTGTCCATTGGTATTTTCGCTTACATCTATGATATAACGTTCTAGCATTTCTGCAATCATTATCAAACCAAGGCTGTCTACAGCCATCTGAAATATTTGTTTTCATTTTTTGTATACCAAATGTTTTCTTTGCAGATACAAGGAGTGTATTTTCAATGTTTCGAAAAATAGAGTTAATAAAATCTTTATCAATTTCTTCGTAGCTTTCGATTTCTCTTAACATATCATCAACTTTATTACTGTTAATATTGTCAAGAAATACATTTGCTTTGGATTGAGTCCAACCTTTCATTTTCTCATTGGAAGAATAAGTCTGCCTTAAATTATTTTCAACAATATGTGATAAATTGAAATTGATTGGACAGTGCACATCAGAGTATAATGCGTTAAATTCGTCTATAGTAAAACCGTTAAATAGTTTTAGTGCGTGTGCTGAAGCTATTACATAATCAACAATTGAAGAGTTTTTACAAGTAAAACTTCCTACATTTTTATCTGTAAACGACCTTCCGTTTAAAATCACTGTTTCATTCGATTTACAAAAATCTACAAGATCTCTTCCTAAACGATTAGCAACTTTATCCATTGAAACACGTGCTACAGAAAAATCATTTTTTCTCAACTCGTTTAAAATATCTACATCAAATATACTGTTATATTCAATATCTATAATATCAAAACGTTTTTCATCAACTTGCAATATATCATCAACATTACCAGTTCTAGCATTATGCTTCAAAGCGGTCAATTGACCGTGAATTTTCTTTTCATATTTTGATTTCCTTGAAATCATTTTTCTCATCTGAAGGCATGCAACTTTAATATGGTGATACATTAATTACATTCCATGAAAATGTTTAAAGATATAAAATATCCCATGACATGAATATAAGACTATATTACTACGATAAAATGTCCAATCTCGCTTACTTACATTTTCGTCTCATCCACTTTTTATTGAAACTGGTAGACAAAGAAACATGAAAAAAATAATGGGAAATGTTAACTATTTAAGGAAAATGCTACTGAATTTCTCTATGTGTTAGTTTGTCCAGTTTATACTACATTATAATGATCATAATTTCACAACATTATAATTTTTGATAATTATATTGAGAACACAATGCATACCAAGATATTATTGAGCCAAAATAAATTAAAATTTACTGCACAATTTCTTTAAATGTTGGTCTAAATAAGCACTTACATATAAATGAATTTTATGTCATTTATAAAAGCTTAAATGAATTCTTTTAAAAATAAAGTGCATTTTTACGATAATTTGTTAATTTATTCAAAATATTTACATTTGGAGATTGTAACGATTCAGTAATGGCAAAATGCAAAATCTATGACACATATGTATATATGATTTAACAAAATATTATTTTAAAAAAAGTCACATAACATCATGTATTTAAATGAATGTATGTTTATTAATGTTATCTTAAACCCTTTTTATTTTTAAAAGAATAAAAGTAAAGGTCAAGGAAAAGTTATAAAAGAAGAAGAATAAGAAGAAAAAAAAAGAAACAAAACGAACAAACTCTTTTATAAACTTTAAACAGACGTGATCTTTTTTGATGTTGAATATAAAGTCACCCAAGACCACCTATTTCTTAATGATATCATACCTATCAAGGAACAGGTTTCGTATTCATGCCGCGTGTTCCGTGTTCTGTCATTTAGACTATTCATTTGTAATAAAACATCCGGGTATAAAGACGTCAATTGTTACTTTAATAGTGTTTAATAACATAAGAGCTTTAGACATTTAAAATAATATACTAGTACAATATTCCATGATGGAAACAAAGTTTTTTGAAAAAAAAAGTCTTTGAAAGGTGTCAATCTTGATAGTGACGACTATTTTAAAGAAACTTTGGACAAAAAGAAAACAACTACTTTCGATTTCACAGAAAAAACATGGAAAGATGATTTTGTTCTCATAGTTGAAAATGAACGATTACATGTTGCAAAAATAATTTTAGCGCATGCGTCACCAGTCTTCGATACCATGTTCCAGGCAGAATTTCAGGAGAAAAATTCGTCTGAACTTGAACTTCCAGGGAAAAAAGTTGAAGATGTCAAAACGTTTCTACGATGTATTTATCCAGATTCGGTCGAAGTAAATTCGGAAAATGTTTCTGCTGTTCTTCCGCTGGCTGAAGAATATCAAGTGTCGAATTTGAAATTAAAATGCGAGGCTGTACTCTTAAGACAAGTCAAGGACACCATTTCATCTGATGACCTTTACATCGTGATAGAGCAGGCTAGTCTTTACAATATGCCTGACCTACTAAAGTATTGCGTTGATATTGCTTCGGATATGGACGTAAAGTCATTCCGCAGAGCAGAAAGAAAAGGGACACTTAACAAAGATTTGAAATACATAATCCTTGACAAAATGGTTACTCGCCTTCAACATAAGAATCTTCTAGAAGTTTTGAAAAGATACTATGAAACTATTGTTGAAACAGATCAAATACTTGATATTACAGATTATGATGATTGGGACGGATGCTCTCATGACATCACCATTCCTTTAGATGAAGGGTCGCTGTTCGAAATAAGTTTATACGGTATGAAAGCACCAATTGCCATAAGAATAGGAACATACGACCAAAGCAGATTCGGAATAAAAAGTTTTACAAAATCTGTAGAAAAAATGGCAGTTTTTGGGAGAATTGCAATACAGCATAATAGTGAAGCACATAAGGTTTTATCAAAGCAAATTAAATTTGAATGTAATCCGAAAATAGGTAAAGAAATTCACATACCAGATTTTCGATGCGGGTTCGAAATCGCAAAGAAAGATTTCGTCTATCACGGAAAAGTTAACGTCAATATACACATTCTTGCCAAAATTTTGAAGAAATGAGGTAGCTGGCAATTACCTTCAGAAACTTGAATATACGACTTGTGAAGCCATTTGAAATAAATGTCTATCACTTTACCGGTATTTTTTGAGTACTTGATTTCAGATTGCTTCAATAATATTTAATCGATATGTTATGATTGGGGAAAAAGATAAATTGACAAAACATTATTTAATGATATACCCGTGTATATAACTGTTTTATAAATGAATTTTGTATTAGCATAACTGTTTTGAATTAAAGACATAATTCAAAATAAACCATGAAAGTAAAGATCGAGAGACAAAATGATTTTGTAAACATATCTCATTAATGTCAAATCCCCGAGTACACGCAAGACCACAAAATTATATAAGAAAAGACAAATTGTGTGAAAAAAGACAATTACTTTACTGATTGATTTATTTCTCATCATTTAAAAAACAATGTTAATCAGTAAACAATAAAGATAATTTAGTTTCCAAAAAAGAGTATGTGAAAAATTTACAAGATGGGAGTATATCTCGAAACAATCTTATCTGTGAAAAAGTCATATGAACTTTTGCTTTATAAAAATGAACAGACTTTAATTCTACTGATTTTTGAACATGCGTTGACTGTTCGTATCATATTGGAATAGTGATTATTAAATCTGATCAACATTGTTCAAAATTACCTTTATCTAAAAATAACCTCAAGCATTCACATGTGAGAAATGTATATTTTATAAGTGCCAATGTAAAATTAAATGTTGACCCTGTAGAAAATTGACTCCTTGGGTCATTTTATTATCCTGGAAACACAAAAGTAATTGCTTGTTCTGATTTATTTCACAATTCTTGCTAAAAGTAAATTTTCATACTTTGATTTAATACTTTTGTTAAAATGAAAATTCCTAGATATTCCAAGAATAAATGACCTGTATCTTTAATAGCATAGGAACAAAATGATTCGTGGATTTTACATTGATGTTAAAAAGAGATCCCACTTGTCTACTGTATGAATAAACTTGTACAAATTTTTCTAAGTTCTGATCCCTGCAACATAAAATGATGAAATATTAATCGCTTTCCAATATGAATTGCTGTTAAGGACTTAATCCCATATTAGTTTAGATTAACCTTTTTCATCTTTATAATATTTTAAATTGTTTAAAATTGTAACGTCCAGAGAAGTTTGCTTATGTCGTCAAGTTTGTGTTAGTTACCGTAGAGAAATAAATAACTTAATATGGTTTTCCGAGTAATTCCTGACAGATAGGTGCAATCATTTTATAATAGTACAAATCAAATATCATCGTATGGAAACTAACTGTTTAGTTCTCGTGATTATTGTGAACACTCGTGTTTTTTGCGGTTTCGTGTGATTAGGCCGTAAAAGTGCTAGTGTTATTTCATTTTGTTTTAGCCTTAACTTATACAAATAAATATATGTCAATTATTTCTATGTATATTTCTTTATTTTACAAATGTTTATTAAGAAATGAGAATTAAGAGTTGTTCAGCAGTATCGCGCATGAATATATCTGCATACATTTCTTTTGCAAGACGAAGACAGAGGTTTTCAACAATACTTTTTTCAGTTTATCAATTGCATTGTTATTATATGTTTAAGATTATGCAATGCTGTTTTAGCGGTATCACTGTTGTACAGCGTCCACCGGATATAGCCCCTCAAAACTCCGAAAACGAAAGTAAAATGTTTACGTCGAGTTCACCCAAGGTAATGTTTCAACTTATTTCTCCATCATAACTCCATCGATTTTTCCAAACTTAACAATTTTGTGAAGCTAAATATGTCAGGGCTTAGAGCAGTATTTGCTTTTCTCTGCAAATTGAATACTTTTTGTTAAATCGGCGATAAATTGTACCGTTTTTGTTGACATTTGCGAACGATGTTGATATTTACCTGTAAATCAGACCCAAAAGGCATTTGTTGTATCAAAATCCATATTTAATATAAAATACAGACTTCTTTCTACTTGTATTTGAGTGGTCATCCATCAAATCGAGCTGCTTTCATCAAAATTTGCGAAAAAAGACATTGCCTAGTGTACAGAGTCTAGCACGGTTTTGTACGGGGTGTAGATGTAAAACTGTTAGCAAGTGTACGGGGTGTAGTAGGTAAACGACTGCTATACTTTTAAATAAAGTACCAGCTGAGCATACACGTACGCTGATGTCGATGCCGGGGGCAGGGATCGTAAAGTGAAACCTTTTATCATTTTTA